AATAAGCCACGACTCATTCTCCCAAAAAAAATGTCCACGCGTCGATTCAGTGTTCGGGTTTCACTTGAAGAAAAGGTGGCAACCCTAGACATACCGCCCACTTTTCTGATTGGTCAGGAAGCCAGGCTGCCTACCAACAAGTGAAGTTGGCTTCCTAGCCAATCAGGAAGCCGGACGGCACGTCACGACCCACCCCCCAACTTCCTGATTAACTCGGAAGCCGGCGTCACATTTTTCTAGGCAGCGTGGCTTCCTGACCAATCAGGAGGCCGGGACGCGCGTCATGACGTAACGCCCGGCTTCCTGATTGGTTAGGAAGCCAGGCTGCCTACCAACAAGCTCATGACACAGCTGAATATTTATGGCGAGAGCAGTTAAAGTGGAGCACCAGCCAACACATTTTTTCTTGTTTGGGATAGAGTAGGGGAAGGGTCAGAACCTCTTTAGGCCTAGGTTTGCACTAGAACTGCTGCATGATTAGGCATTTCAGTGCAATTTTGATGTGCTTTTGATGTGTTTTTCTTTTGACCAATGACAAGCACTATCTGCTGTGACATCATTAGACATAGTCTTCCTTTGAGAAGACTTTAAGCACAATAATGCACCAAAAATGCGCCAAAACGCATGTACATGCATTTTTGTTATGCTCTTCAATTGAAATTGATGACCTCAAAACACACCAAAAGAAGCCCCAGCACCTTCCCAAAAATTGCAGTATACCATGTTGCATTAATGTGAACAGGCGCCATTAAAGCAGAACACTGGGTCATTTTTTTAAATTAACCCTTGCAGTGGAGCTACCCCCACACTGCAAGGGTTAAGTGCTCTTGCTCTTAGGCTGGGCACACACCTTACAACCATTGCAAGACTTTTGTCTTGCGATGGTTGTAAGGTACTTAAAAAAACGTACGATCTGCCTATGTTGCATAGGCAGATCGTACTTGCGATGATCGCAAGCCACGCCCCCTGAGGGGCGGGCTTCCGATGACCGCAATGCCGAACGGGCAGTGTGCGCTTGCGCACACCGGCCCGTACGGCTGTTATCGTACGGACATGCCACAAACCCGCTGAACATCGTACGATGCTCGGCGGGTTTTCGAACATGTCCGTAAGTTTAAAGTCGTGCGACCTTACAGTAGTAGAGGTCGCACGGCTTCCACACACCTTACGATAATCGTATGATCGCGGGATTTCCCGCGATTATCGGAAGATAATCGTAAGGTGTGTGGGGACCCTTAGACTGGTCCATTCTGTTTAGCTCCCTCTCTGCTTCCGCGATCTAAGAGTCACGTTTCACGTCACATTTTATACACAGTGTATAGGACATGAGGACACCAAAGGCCATACCATCACTCGAACGGAGAAGGAGACAGGCAGGAGGGAACGCTGTCACAGCCAGCCTGGCTCTGAGGATCGGTGAGTATATGTTTGTTACTTTTAAACCTAGACAAAACAAGCACTACCCCCAGAGTGGGGGTAGCTCCACCGCAAGGGTTAATTGTAAAAAATGACAGAGAGTTCTGCTTTAGGGATTACAGGTGAAACTCGAATAATTAGACTATCGTGCAAAAGTAATTGCAGTAAGGGGCCCAAACCAAGTACTGAGTACATATGCATGCTTCTACTTTTCAGAGGTCCAATATTGTTCTATGTACAATCCTTGTTTTATTGATTGCATGTAATAATCTACTTTTTTGAGGTTGTGGATTTGGGGTTTTCATGAGCTGTAAGCCATAATCATCACAATTATGACAAATCACGGCTTGAATGATTTTGCTTTGCATGTAATGAGTCTATCTCATATATTAGTTTCACCTTTTAAGTTGCATTAGTGAAATAAATGAACTTTGCACGATATTCTAATTATTCGAGTTTCACCTGTATGTGATTGCCATTACCGTGCAGTGCAGCACGGCAGCAGCCACAGGACAAATTGTACTAGTGTGATCGGAACCTAAAGCTTTTATTGCTGTCGTGTCCCTTACTGGGTAGATTCCTGCTCACTTCCTGTCCCAGAAACACAACAGGAAGTGAGAAGAGATCTCCCCTACATGAGGGGAAATCCAATCTTTGGCACTTGTCACGGAAATTCCATTTTAAATTATAATTTTAGATGGAGGCAATGACATGTCAGTAATTTCTTGTTATTACATAGCGACAATGTAATTCCCAATTTTAAAGGAAGCACTTATTCTGTAAAATTAGCAACACAGGTCAAGTTCTTGACTAAACTAAATTGATTCTGCTTTTAAATTAATTAAAAAGTAATCTTCTTATTTAGGCCTCATTCGAAAGGGGGAATGTTGCTCTTATTTAGGCCTCATTCACATGGGGTATTTTGCTCTTCTTATTCAGGCCTCATTCACACAGGGTGTGTTGCTCTTCTTATTTAGGGCTCATTCACATGGAGTGTGTTGCTTTAGGTCTCATTAACATGGGGTGTGTTGCTTTAGACCTTATTCACATGGGGTGTGTTGCTCTTCTTATTTAGGCCTCATTCACATGTGGTGTGCAGACATCCCAATTCTCCCGGACGTCTCCCGCTCTTAAGATATCGGCTCCCTGACACCTGTGAGAGAAACATTCTATCCCATAAAGGTTTACTTTGCTCTATCTAGCAGAGTAAACCTTTCTGGGACACCTGGTGGTTCTACTCCCCCTGTCTGGTCTACGTCACTTCCCAGTGGCCGCTGTCAGAATACGAAGGGAAAAAACAGCAGATAGCAGAGGACGCATTCACTCCCCTGCTATCTGCTGACTCCCATGCTATCTGTTTTTTTTTTTTACAGTAGCCACCTACAGAATAAAATAAAAACAGATAACAGGGGAATGAATAGCTACGCTGCTATTGACCATTTCAAATTGCAATAGCCAATGGCAGGCTGGCTATTGCACCCACCCACTGCTGCTGTCAATCAGTAGGGTTGGACTTGAAGTTCTCCTTCAGGTTCCCCTCTGCTGATTGACAGCAACAGTGGGCGGGTGCAATAGCCAGCCGACTATTGCAATTTGAAATGGCCAATAGCAGCGTAGCTATTCATTCCTCTGCTATCTGTTGTGTTTTTTTTATTCTGATTTTTTATTCTTATTGTAAGTAGGGGACTTACTATATATGTTTATGAGCTGTAGCGTGTGTAAACACTTGGTGCGGGGGTGGGTTGGGATGGATGACAGAGGGCCCATCCCTGAAATTAGTTGAAATCCCTGAAATTGCAGGTTGGGATGTCTGGGTGTGTTGCTTTTCCTGTTTAGGCCTCATTCACACGGGGCTGTTGTTTTTCTTATTTAGGCCTCTTTCACATGTGGTGTGTTGCTTTTCTTATTTAGGGCTCATTCACATGGGGTGTGTTGTTTTTCTTATTTAGGCCTCTTTCACACAGGGTGTGTTGCTTTTCTTATTTAGGCCTCATTCACACGTGGTGTGTTGTTTTTCTTATTTAGGCCTCTTTCACACAGGGTGTGTTGCTTTTCTTATTTAGGGCTCATTCACACAGGGTGTGTTGCTTTTCTTATTTAGGCCTCTTTCACATGGGGTGTGTTGTTTGTTTTTCTTATTTAGGCCTCTTTCACATGGGGTGTGTTGTTTTTCTTATTTAGGCCTTATTCACACAGGGTGTGATGCTTTTGTTATTTAGGGCTCATTCCCACGGGGTGTGTTGCTTTTGTTATTTAGGGCTTATTCACACGGGGTGTGTTGCTTTTGTTATTTAGGGCTTATTTGCACGGGGTGTGTTGCTCTTCTTATTTAGGCCTCATTCACACAGGGTGTGTTGCTCTTCTTATTTAGGCCTCATTCACACAGGGTGTGTTGCTTTTGTTATTTAGGCCTCATTCACACAAGGTGTGTTGCTTTTGTTATTTAGGCCTCATTCACACATGGTGTGTTGCTTTTGTTATTTAGGGCTTATTTGCACGGGGTGTGTTGCTCTTCTTATTTAGGCCTCATTCACACAGGGTGTGTTGCTCTTCTTATTTAGGCCTCATTCACACAGGGTGTGTTGCTCTTCTTATTTAGGCCTCATTCACACAGGGTGTGTTGCTTTTGTTATTTAGGCCTCATTCACACAGGGTGTGTTGCTTTTGTTATTTAGGCCTCATTCACACAAGGTGTGTTGCTTTTGTTATTTAGGCCTCATTCACACATGGTGTGTTGCTTTTGTTATTTAGGGCTTATTTGCACGGGGTGTGTTGCTCTTCTTATCTAGGCCTCATTCACACAAGGTGTGTTGCTCTTCTTATTTAGGCCTCATTCACACATGGTGTGTTGCTCTTCTTATTTAGGCCTCATTCACACAGGGTGTGTTGCTTTTGTTATTTAGGCCTCATTCACACAAGGTGTGTTGCTTTTGTTATTTAGGGCTTATTTATACGGGGTGTGTTGTTCTTCTTATTTAGGCCTCATTCACACGGGGTGTGTTGCTCTTCTTATTTAGGCCTCATTCACACAGGGTGTGTTGCTCTTCTTATTTAGGCCTCATTCACACTGGGTGTGTTGCTCTTCTTATTTAGGCCTCATTCACACAGGGTGTGTTGCTTTTGTTATTTAGGCCTCATTCACACAGGGTGTGTTGCTTTTCTTATTTAGGCCTCATTCACACAGGTTGTGTTGCTTTTCTTTTTTAGGCCTCATTCACACGGGGTGTGTTGCTCTTCTTTTTATGACCTCATTCACACGGGGGTCTGTTATCACGCTGTACGGGGCAACGCGCCCCATGTGAATGAGGCCATGTAGTGAAAACAATCACAGCTAAAAGTATGCAGTGTATGCAATATGTAACAGCACTGTGCAATGTAAACACACAGCCATAGTGCTGTGGCATGTCCTGAAATCTTCAGTCATGTGTTTTTTTCTTTTTTTTAAATGTTATTTTAATAACAAATGAAAAACAAGGCTCGTCTGCATTCCCCGAATGAGACATTGAGCCAGGCAAACTCCCAGGACTTGTGCTATGGGCAGGATGCATCATCATTGACTTAAAACTGTGCTGGGATGATACTATCCAACCACAAGGCACCATGCAAATGAGGCCAGTGCATTCTGTGCCGTGTGCTGTGCTGCTGCTGCCTGGTTGTTATAGTGATAAACCAAGGCCTTGTTCATCACCGCTTCCACTTATAAGATTTAAACAAGCACCTTCTGTTTCTCAGGGGAAAAATGGCATGAAGCTGGGAAAAATATCCACCGCCTAGAATACCCGAGAGGAGTTCTACATCGTGCGGAGAGCTACAGCAAGCCTTCTTCTGGCCATGCCAGTTCTCAGCCTTGATGCTGAGTCAGAAACAGGTATCCCAAATTCCCTTTGTGGTGATCTTCCCTTAGAAAGCATGGAAGAATTGGAACACACTTGTCCTCAGCCTCGCCTGGTGAGTAAAGACGTATGTACCATGTGCTCAGGAGTGACATGAAAGGGATTTTAGAAGCAAAGGCTTTGTGAAAACAACTTAGCTGCAGACTAATCCATCTGTGCTGGGTGTCTCGTTCAGGATCTGCAGTGAGGAAAGTTGCATTACAAAGCAGCATTTCTGTGGCGGTGCTGAGGCAGGATTCTTGGGATTGCTTCCTGCCTGTCTCATCCCTTCTCTAATGCTGCTTGTCAGTGGACCAACAAACTAGTTCTTGATGAGACACGCTGCACCGTCCACGATACAGATGTCTTGTCTCAAAGGTCATAGAAAAGGCAGTATTCTTTCTTAGCCCGTTTGCTTTTTTTCTATGTGTGTTTTAAAGAAGCACTCCGGGGGGAAATTATTATTAACCCTCTCAGTGGGGCTACCCCCGCACTGCAAGGGTTAAGTGCTCGTTTGTGCCTGGGAAGAAAAATAAAAAAAAGTTACACTCTCTTGATCCTCTCAGCTGGCTTGCTCTTAGAACGTTCCCTAGAGCCTTTCCTCCCCCCTGCTGTAGTGGTCTAAGGTCCTGTAAATCATCACGTTCCATACACAGTGTATAGATGTGAGGACACTGAGGGACATTCCATTGCTGTAGCGTAAGAGGAGACAGGCTGGAGGGAGCACCGTCACAGCCTGCCAGATTAGAGGTTCAGGTGAGTATAACTTTTTTATTTTAAGCCCTAGACCAAAACAAGCAATTACCCATTGCAGTGCAGGGGTAGCCACACTGCAAGGGTTAATAATAATTTTCCCTGGAGTCACTGTGATACTTGTTCCTGGTTACCCATGCAGCTTACAGGCACACACAGTGGCAGCTCCATAGGACCCTGCAAGGGAAAGGAGCCACCCTAAAACAGGAAATCAGGGCCAATGCTCAGGGGACCAGTTGATTCTGCAGGAAGCCAAAACTTCTAAACATCGAGGAGCAGCATTCATTGTAAGTGATTTTATCAGCATCTGAAATCGATTGCTATACAAAATATTTTATGCGCCACCAGAGAAAATCAGACACCGCACCCCTAAATATACAGTAACAACAACAAACCAAAGCAAAGGTGTCATACCCGGACTGAGCAGAACACAGAGAAATCGCATAACCACATATATGTTTTTAAACATTTGTTGAACTGTACATACTGTTAAAATAGTCGCCATCTTGGTATATATCTTGGTATACAACAAAATGGCGGCGCCCATAGCGGCGTGTGACCTCGTGCACCCCGCCTCCAAGATGGCGGCACACATGCGCAGAACGCGCCGTTCCCAATATGGCCCCCACTAGACATGTTTATTCGGACGAACCTGCAAATCAACGAAATTCAGTTTAGTCGGCGGTTTGGCGAATCTGAAATAACTAATTTATTATATGCCCGAATATACCAAAACTATATGCGGGCATACATAAACTCGTCAGCAGAACGAGCGATGGCCATATTGGCTGGCGGTGTGTTAGGCGCATACCCGCCGCTATCTTGGAGTATATTTTGGTATACACCAAGATGGCGGCACCCGAATATGCCATACCAACATACACTCCAAAATGGCGGCAGAGCGTATAATGTCACATGATGGTAATGTTATACACTGAACGTTTTACGCTGAACGAGCGGTGGCCACATTGGCATGCGGGCTCCGCCATCTTGGTGTATACCAACATACCCTTCTCTAATGCTGCTTGTCAGTGGACCAACAAACTAGTTCTTGATGAGACACGCTGCACCGTCCACGATACAGATGTCTTGTCTCAAAGGTCATAGAAAAGGCAGTATTCTTTCTTAGCCCGTTTGCTTTTTTTCTATGTGTGTTTTAAAGAAGCACTCCGGGGGGAAATTATTATTAACCCTCTCAGTGGTGCTACCCCCGCACTCCAAAATGGCGGCGTGCATGCACAGAACGCGCTGGTGGCCAATGTGGCCGCCACTTGTTCTACAGTTTATTGTGCAGCTTCGGATTCAGAGGCTCGTTGCTTCCAAATCCGAAACAGCATTAAAATTTGTATCCTTTGACAAAATGAATGAAAATGTTTTTAGTTTTCATTTGTTTCGGTCAAAACAAATTTTTTCGCCCTGAACATGTCTAGCCACCACGCGTCTCAAACAAATTATTATGTGCTCGATTACGTTTTTCGTATATTCGGGCATTTAATAATTTATTAATTCGAAATTTCATTGATTTGCAGATTCATCCGAATGCACAATTCTAAAGGTGCCCATACACTGTGCGATTATCGTACGATAATCGTGGGAAATCCTGCGATCATACGATAATCGCAAAGTGTATGGAAGTACAGTAAAAACGGTCGCACGTCTTCTGTCTAGGGAGCACGCTAGTAAACCAGCCGAAAATCGTACGATTTTCGGCTGGTTTGAACGGTGCGCGAGAGACAAATGCCGAACGGGCCGGTGTGCGTACGCGCAAACTGCCTGTTCAGCATTGCGGTCATCGCAAGCCCGCCCCTCAGGGGGGCGGGCTTGCAATGTTTGAGAGTACGATCTGCCTGTCCAAGATGGGCAGATCGTACGTTTTTTTATAATCACTTTACAACCATCGCAAGACTAAAGGTGCCCATACACCTTACGATTATCGTACGATAATCGTATGCGATCGACTTTTCGTACAACAATCGTAACGTGTGAATAGAGTGCCCGACCGATAGTACTGTACAATCGTACGACTTTTGACGGTCAAGCATGTTTGAAAACTTTGGTTGATCGTACGATGTTCGCATGGTTGGTGGCGTTTCCGTCCGTCAAAAGTCGTACGATTAACACTGCGCATGCGCAAACGAAAATAATTGTGGTCAATTACCGCAAGTCGTCCAGGTGTTTTTTTCTAACTACCGCTGATTGAACCTTGCGATAATCGGGGCAGGATGGGGCCGTCGTACGAAAATCGTACGACGGTTCGATCATCGGACGAAAAGTTTCGTCCGATAATCGTAAGGTGTATGGGCACCTTTAGGTCTTGCGATGGTTGTACAGTGTATGGCCACCTTTATAGTGATTGATTCCTAACCACATGCAACCCTATCACATACGATTACATGCAGTGTGCCAGCATTCTGCTGCTCTAAAGGTGCCCATACATTTTACAACCATCACAAGACCTTAGTCTTGCAATGATTGTAAAGTAATTAAAAAAAGTCTGAGGGGGGGCTTCCGATGACCGCAATGCTGAGCGGGCAGTGTGCGCACACCGGCCCGTTCGGTATTTGTCTCCCGAGCATCATTCCAACCAGCCGAAAATCTTACGATTTTCGGCTGGTTTTCTAGCATGCTCCTTAGACAAAAGACGTGCGACCGTACATTAGAAACGCCTTCATTCACACTGCACGATTCTCGTACGAGAATCGTGCAGTGTATGGGCACCTTTAAATGCAGCCTCTGTCACCCGATCATTAACTTGATCTGGTGACAGCTGCTGCTTGTGAATGGAAAATTTGGAATTCCTGCTAGAGGAAATCGCAAGTTCCTGCTGCAGGAATACCAAGTTGCACCTACTTGGTAGGTGTGAATGTAGCCTAAAAGCTGATAATGGCTATTAAGGCCTAATTAGAAAATTAGGGTCAGGGACCTTGCAAGTGTTTATCACTAGGGATTGGAGGGAGCATATTTTGTCATTGATACTGACCTAATAGAGCCATGTGGTTATATAAACTCAATGATGTCACCAGCATCCCCCCTTTGTGTACATGCAGCTTTGGGTGGGGAATGCCCCCATGGCAGCTAATTAGACCGACACTGGCAGCTTCTTTCTGGGTTCAGATGAGCTACCAGTTTCTGTCCGAATCTGAGCTCATCCCTGTTTATCACTGGTCAAGTAGAAGAGTGATCAAATCTTTACACGTGCCACAATTAATATATTCTTTGTTCTTATGTTTTAAAGTTCTTGAAGTAAAATATAACTTTGTATTAACATTTGTCAACAGGTTTTTTAGCACACTGTTTTCTGGAAGGTAATTTGAATGTATTGTCTAAACAGGGAATACCCTGTTTAGACAATATTAGGATAACATTTTTTATGCCTTGTTTTGACATATATCAGCAAAATGTTAAATGTCATTTAATTGAGAATTGAGAAATCGTACGATTTTCGGCAGGTAAGTGGCGTGCGCGTAAGATAATTGCCGCACGGGCTGGTGTGCGCAAGCGCACACTGCCCGTTCAGCATTGCGGTCATCGGAAGCCGCCCCTCAGCGGGGCGTGCTTGCGATTATCGCAAGTACAATATGCCTGTCCAAGATGGGCAAAGTGTACGTTTTTTTAATGACCTTACAACCATCGCAAGACAAAAGTCTTTTGCGATGGTTGTAAGGTGTATGGGCACCTTTATTCATATGGACTGTGACAGGGTATACGACTCTGTGTATGTCAGTGAGAGGGTGAAAAGGGCAGCTTTACCTGGCTAGGAAGGAGTTAAGCCTTGCCCCAACAGGTACACCTCCTCTCTCTATTAGCCTGCACCTGATAGTGACTCAGGAGCTCAGAGAGCGATCCATGCTGAACTGGATGGATGGATGCATACAGACTGGAGAGCGTCTGAATATCTGTGGGATAAGGTCTGGCTAGAAACTATATGTATTGGACTGTGGTTTCTGTTCATGTTCATTTATACTGGAAGCTGGAATAGCCGCTCCAGTAGGACGTAGTGAGGGACACTACTGTTAGTTAGCCTCCTAAGGTGGAGTGGGCCTTTTTATTTATGTTACTCTGGAGTTTCTGCTGGAATTCGTTTGTTTAAAAGGGAAAACGTACCCTGTTGATAAAAAGAAACGTTTTATGTTGAATGCAATAAAGCCGCATTTATTGCCAATACTGATCACAGACCAGTGACTTTCTTACAGGACCTAAAAATGATTTTTTTTATGGGTTACCTGAGCCCAATTTCACAGCAACAAACTGAAGTAGGGTATCCAAGGTAGATTTTCGAATAAATGTCCACACAAAAATAGCCTATACAGCTCCCGAAGGCGG